AAATACAAAAAAATGCGATAGAATGGAAGACGAAAATTGTACTGCAGTGTTTCCATATTGGACACAACAGTATTATTAAATAAAAAAATTAAAAATAATAATAAAATAAATTAAGTACAATCATATGAAGTGCCAACCTTTTACAAGCGTCATAATGCAACAGTAAAACTCAAGCGTGTAATATGCGACAACGTACTTATAAATGAATTTATTAGCTTTTGTTGGCGTTTATGTGATTTTTGTTGCTTTTTAATTGCCGTTTTATGTTTGGCACAATGCTTATTGTCTATTTTCTTTGGAAATCTTATTATTTATGATTGTTATGATTTTTGTCGCACATACATACATATGTATGTATGGCTGCGCATTTGTAATGTATTTTGTTGTAATTGTAATTTTGTGCATTTTTATGCTTTTTATAGTGTTATTTTTCATGTACGCTTTGCTTTTTGCTGATGCTTCCTTCCGCTTTGCTTTAATTGTTAACAGTTCATTCGCCGCTACGGATTTCTTCGCGCTTTTTCGGTCATTTATCATTTAATATACGAGCGCAACAAATTAACTTTTACATAATAATTTTTTGTTCGATAATTTCTTTGATATTTTGCTTAATATCTTATTGTTGCGCTGCGCTTCTTACCACTTCAGCGTTCGATCTCGAGAGTATTAATGTGTGTGTGTTGCTCCACCATACTTTACTAAGTATTACGACATATAGTAGTATTTCGCTAATTAAATACAACTTTGTAACGTTGCCGCTTAAAAGCTATTCAGGTTCGAAATTAAAGTTACTCATTTACGCGTATAACAGTAAATTTGTAGGTTAATTGCAGTTTAATAACAATTTTTAACGGTATGTTTTAATGTTTTGTTTTCGTTGTGTCTTACGTAAACGCAGGTTTCGTCGCTGGAGCGTCGCCATTCGGAGCGCGAGGAACGCCTGCGCATGCTCGTGGATGCGCTGAGCAAAGGACGTCTCACCGGCGCTATTGAGGACTTGCTCGGCGACAACAACAACCAGCGCAGCACCTAAAAGCGCATTTAAGCGTCAACAGCAATCATGTTGTTGTTGTTTTAGTGAGTTGCCAGTCCTTGGCCATATAAAAAAATTCGGGACCGTTCAAGTAGACCGACCGTAGACCGACTGTCATCAATCATCGCAACTAACGGCCAAGCTTTTAGCTGCTATTTAGCACCCTGTATGCTCGTGTTTCGCACAGTGCCAGCGCAAGAAATTCATAAAAAATAGAAATTAAATTAAAATGCTCAGTATTAAGTACCAGTGCCCGCCCATAGCTGCGCGCTCCCACACAACGCCCACTTTTAAAGTAAAACAACGTTTAGTTTTAGTTGCAAAATTTTCATTTTCAATTTCAATGCTCATCATGCAACAAGCAACTCATATGCGCGTTGATGAGCGGTTTTAAAGTCAATCTACTTTCCATATATGTATGTGTGTTTGCATGTATTAAGGAGCGCAGCAAATTTTTGCCATCCATTTCAATTGTGGTTATGCAGTAATTATTCAACGATCCATATAAGGTATGACTTTTAAAACACATACACTATTTTGTAAGCGAATAATATTAAGTATTCAAAAAAAAAAAAAAAAAGAATTGCATTGCACATTGTCCATTAAATTGTTTTGTAAATTGACTATGCAATTAAAAATTGTCCAAAATGCGCTTAAAAGCAAAAACAAAGTTGACTGAATATTTACACAAAGCATGAGCGAGCGGCGCTTGTGCTAAGCGCATATGTGACACCGATTACCGGGATATGACAGATTTTTATTAGATATATATACATGTATGTATGTAGTTTAGATATAATATGTGTGTGTAGTTGTAATGGTACGTCAATATTTTGTTATATTGTGAGTAATTATGGCAGTGGCTGTCATTTAGAAATTTGCTGTAATCACGTGGAATTCAAATTAGTGCGTATTATGAGTGTAATTACCGACAATATGTTTCTACTAACATTTATGTATATTACTTTGATGAAAAATTGCTTTGCATTATTTCTAAACAGATTGCGTTTGAGTTTAAGAAAGATACGAATTGTCCAAAATGTGCAAACAATGCGTTCGTCGATAATTTTTACGTCTATACCAATTTTTAGTATTTTTCGCTTCGACAATATATTAATTAAGTTTTTTATTACTTTTTTTTACTAATTTTGTTTTTTTATTGATTACTTTTTTTTTAAATTAATTTTGTTTATATTATATTAAATTTTTTATATCCTGAACAGCATATTTTAAGTTTCCCAAGTTGACTCATCGAACTCATTAAAACATCGGAGACCTATACTATACAGTTCGTTACAAAAATGAGTATACATTCCTGTGTTCATAAAAGAAATATACAAATTATGCCAAATTTAGCAAATAAAAAAAAAAAAAATGTATGCACTTTTGAAGATAGAAATCTTGACAACAATAATTCAACAAAAATTAACTTATTTGTTTAACATTAAAAAAATACTTAAATATACTAAAAAATACTTAAACAAAAAAATTATTGATAAAATTATGTAATAAAAATGAGTATAAATTTGCATTTGAAATGTGGTATCTCCGGATTCGCAGTATCGTGCCGTTCTTGATCATCACGGAAAGAGTACAAACCAATGACGTCGGCGGCCCATAAACCGCACTAAACCGTAATTTTTATGGAATGCAATGCCAACTTGGAGTACGTGTGAATTGCTGCCTGACCAATGACGCATATTTTGCTTATTGACGAAGCCATTCAATCAGAAATGAGCCTCATCGCTGAAGAAGATTTTTCGATGAAAATCCAGATCATTTTCAAGTTCACAAAAGAAGATGCTGGCTTTCCAGCGGCTTCAGTTCTTGCTTCAATTTGATCTTGCACGGATGTAGGGCAAAATCTTTCCGCAAAATTCGCCACAACGATGTCAGAGATGCCCAACGCTTTAGAACGAAGTATGTGTGACTGATTTGGGTCTTCCTCAATTGATACGCTAACGGCAAAAATATTCTCTGCAATACGGTCACTTCCTTGTCTCACTGGCAATGGAACATTTTTTCTGTGCCTGTGGATTCAAATTTTTCCACAAGATGCAGAATTGTTGATTATGACGACTATAAATTAAACGTAGCGCTCTTAAAGTTGAGGCCACTGACTCCGAATTTCGGTAGTAAATTTTAATAATTTCGACTCGTTGTTGGATCGTATATCTTTCTATGATGAAATTGCAAACTTTTTTCATAAATGTCAAAAGAGCAGAAAAAAAATATGGCGTCGTTTGTTGTCACTATGTATCTACTTTTGTTGACCTATTAAGAAGACCCTATACTAGAAAGAAAACCACTATTGAAATAAGAGAAATTGTGAAAAATTTTGAAATGAAGGTAAATCGGAAAAATTAGTGAAATTATTGGACAGACTTTATTGCACAGTTCAAAAAATTATAAATTAATGAATATGTAGAGAAAAAAATGTTGACTGATGTTGATGAGCGCAATATTGTACGTAAAGTGGAAATCAATTCAACAAAAAGTACTCCCCACTTAACGGTTAATGTGTCAAAAAAAAGTTCGTATTTTTCGCAAAATTAATTTACATGCTTGCATATGTACGTAAAAAGTCATTTATTTTTGGTGTAAATAAGAGAAAACGCTCTTAATTCGCGAAAGCTCATGTTGATAAGTGTAACTGGGAAAATGTAATGTTCACTGACGAAGCTATAAATTAACATTTGCGGATCTGATGGACGACAAATTGTAGGGAGAAAGCCAAACACGGAGCTGCGAAGTAAACATTCAGTTGGGCCAGTGAAACATGGCGGTGGCTCAGTTATGCTGTCGGGGTCAAAGGAAGCTAATGAAGAGGACACCATTCAATTTATTGAATGCAACGTGACCCAGGAGATTTATTTGAATACACTGAAGTGCGATTTACGTGCAAGCATGGAGAAAATTAAGCTTCCGTCAGTGTTTTGATTCCAACAAGCCAACAATTCAAAACATACAGAGATTATAGCAAATGCATAGTTACTTTATAGTACTCCAAAATTGCTTAAGACTCCCCCACAATTCCCCTATATAAACCGTATACAACAGTTATGGGGAGATCTGAAATCTGAGCTGATAAAATCCAGTCCCCATACTAAAGAAGAGCTAAAAAAGAAGATTAACAGGATATGGGGCGAAATATCACCTAATTTTACAAAAAAACTGGTAGACCCCATAACCTCGGGTTATTATTTTCCATGTAGTGTATACCGTGGATTTATCTAAAATTTTAGTTTTTTGTTTAAGTTTTTGCTTAATGTTTAATAAATGAATTAATAATACTCAAATAAGAGTTCTGACTTCAAATGTGCATCAAAAAAATTCAAATATATTCATTAAACTTTCCATAGTTTGCGTATTTCTTTTACGAACTCCTGTGTATACTCATTTTTGTGGCTTACTGTATTATAAATAAATGATCAGCATGACAAGTCCGTATGTCTGTGCGTTCGTCTGTCTGTATATAAGCAAACTAGTCGCTCAGTTTATGAAATATCTGATATCTGTGCCCAAAAAATAAGATGACATTTGAATTTAAACTGCGCGCGTCGAAGGATTTGGAAAATTATGTTTTTTTTTTTTTAGGTTGGTAGTACTGTCAGTCACATTTATGTCAAATTTTATGTCAAAATATTCATTAGCGTTTGAGATACGTGTCGTTATGTGGGCTGCTAAAAGTGGGTTTTTCGTTTTTTGCGATGTGGAAATTTGTTGAGCAAAGAATTTGCATTAAATGATTGATCATTTCTCCAAAAACTCAACCCATATCGTTCCGTAACCACCGTATTCACCTGATCTGGCGCCGTGCGGCTTCTGGCTGTTCACCAAGCTCAAAAGACCGCTCCGGGGACACCGTTTTTATACGATAAACGAGATTCAAGCCGCAGCGAAGACGGAACTGAAGGCCATCCCAGAAATTGACACTACAACCAGTGTTTCGAAGATTGGAAAATCCGTTGGCATAATGTACTACATCTAGYRGGGATTACTTTGAAGGGGATGAAATTGATTTGGAAGAATAAATAAAGAATTTTCAAAATAAATATAATGTCACCTTATTTTTTGGGCACAGGTATATATGTACATATATCGATCTGCAGTTTTGCAACGGTATAACCTCTAAAGAAATTGTTCAGATCGGATCACTATAGTATAGCAATAAAAACTGGTCGATCAAACTCAAGATAAATATTATATTTTTATATCCTTTTATGCTATAAAAAATGTCCCTGTGAAGGGTATTATAGCTTCGGTGCAGCCGAAGTTAACGTTTTGTCTTGTTTTCAATATTAAAATAAAATGCTCGTTTCAAGTGTCATAAGACTGTAAAGGACAATAGCTGTAATAATATACTATGATTCTATTATACAGAGGTAATGTTTCCTCCTCTCACCGAAACTGCTTTAACCCATAATGAAAAACAAACTATTTTGGTTTTTTCCCTGAACAGCTTGTATATATTTTAATGGAATCTTTGTAAAATTTATTTTTAAATCACCAGAAGAAAACAAAACACCTGATTTTGGCATTACATATGAGTTAAAATACTTTCAACAAATTGTTCTTTTTAAACTATCGACATAATCTTATAAAACTGACTCGTTCGACTAGTAATTGGCGAATAAAACGCCCGATGCTTTGCTCCAAAACCTTGATCGAAACGGTATTGCCCGCATATACCTACAGAAAAAAGTCTCACACCTTGATGATCAATCGACCTCCCCAAAACGTAAAATTATCTGCTCACCGAAGTGTTCTCTCAATAAATCCATTGATTGACGCGATGTGTGGGGAGTGGCGCCGTCTTGTTGAAAACAAATTTTGCTAACATCACGAGCTTCAACTTCAATTATGAAATAGTCGGTTATAATAGCGCGATAATATTCGCCATTGACGGTTACATTCTTATCGTCATCATTTTTGAAGAAATATATAGTGTTGTTTCCACCGGTTTTTTCAAGATGAAATTGCAACTTTTGAAGCTTTTGAGGTTGCTCTTCGTCTCAAATGCGACAATTTTGTTTGTTTACATACCTACCCATTGAACCAGAAACTGGACCCATCGTTGAACAAAATTTAGCTTAAAAGTGTGGCATCTTTTTTGAAATTTGAAGAAGGTCGTGTGGCTTCAGTTCTGACACAAGCTGCATTAAGTCTTGTCGCAAGTCTTTCCATGATGAGATGCCAAATAATACTGAACAAAAATAATATGAGAGCTGGACACGACTCATGCGGGAACTGTCAAAAAAGGCTATTGAAAAAAGTACGTCTACTTGAATCACCCGTTAGAAAGCTGCAACTCAAAAACTATTTTATATATCGATTTAAAGTTAAGTGTTCTTTTCTTTTCTTTTTGACACTAGTTGTTTTAATTAAAATATTAAAAATTACTCAAACTCACACAATTCTTAATTACACAATTTTATTCTGGGAAAGTCAGGTAGCTTTAATTTCTTATCAGTTAAAATTTTTTCGTACAGACTTTTAGTTCGAAATC